TGTCCACTTGGAACCGTTGCCTGAGGTTGCAGAGATACTGAACCTCGAGGAAATGACGGCCGAGTCTTTGCTGGCCAGCCTCAAGGCTGAGGAGGTTGCCGAGATGGTCTAATAAGACCTGAGGCCACTCGGGGGGAGCTGAACTCCTCCTCTGTCTTGGATGAGGGTCCTAGAAGAGCTGAGCAAGCAGTGTCAGACGCGCTTGGGCTCTGAGATCTTTAATAATCAAGGATTCGGTGTATCTTTTGGCGACGGAGTATGCGGACGTGGTGAACGTTCATCTACCGTTCCAACTCCCACCGAATCGAGGTGTACGGCATTAGATCGATCTCGTGCCTGGCACAAGTACTGCGTCACGAGACAATGGCCTCTTCCACGCGGACAGTGCGAGGTCATTGATGCCTTCTTCGCTGCGAAAGCGAAGGCAGGCATGGTGCGGGAGTCAAAGTCTCCGTACTTGACGCCAACTTTCTGCGCTCGGAAGCCGAACGGGGAGTGGCGTCTAGTTCACGCTTATAACAAGCTGAACAGCGCGTTAATGTCGGCCCAGACACCAATCCCACCAAAGGAGGTGTTGTTGAACAACATGGCCGGAAGCTTACTGTACAGTGCGCTGGATTTGGTAGACGGATAATACCAGATCCTGATACGCGAGAGCGACAGCCCGCTCACCGAGGTGAGCACTCCAAGCGGCATGCTTTGAAAGTGGCTCGTCATGCCACAGGGCTTCTCTAACGCCCCGACGACATTCAACCGGCTGGTGACGCAACTGTTCAGGCCATTGCGCGCTTTCGTTCAAACGTACTTCGACGACATCTTCGTCCATAGCCGTGCCGAGGGAGGCAAGACGGCCATGGAGGTGCATTTGGGGCACCTCCGTCGAGTGTTGGACGTGATGCGAGCGAACAAGCTCTACGCCAACATCGATAAGTGCATTTTCGCGTCACCAGAGATTAAAGTTCTGGGTTTGCTACGTAAGCAACGTGGGCGTTCGGGCTGACCCAGACAAGGTCAAGGCCATTGCAGCATGGCCGACGCCCCGATCCCAGAAGGACCTTCGAAAGTGGTTGGACTTGGCCAACTACCTTCACAAGTACAGCGCAGGGTACGCGGTCTTCACTAAGCCCTTGTCGAGCCTCCTTCAGAAGGACGTCGACTGGCGCTGGGAGCAAGAGCACCATGATGCTTTTGACAGCATCAAGGCCAGTCTCCAAGAGACCCCAGTCCTGGCCCTGCTGGATGAGACGAAGCCGTTTACCATCGTCTGCGATGCCTCCAATTACGCCATCGGATGTGAATTACTGCAGGCCGACACGGCTGGACATGAACGAGCTATCTCGTTCCAGTCCAGGCAGCTCAAAGCCGCCGAGCGGAACTACCCTGTCCACGACAAGAAGCTCCTGGCAATGAAATATGCCCTTGTGAAGTTTTGGGCGCATCTTCTGGGCTCACGGCCCTTTGTGGTCTATACATACCACGCATCCTTGAGGACGGCGACATATTCGCCTCACCTCTCCCAACGTATGGCGAGGTGGCTGTCCTTCTTCGCGGAGTACAACTTCCGCGTTGAGTACAAGCCGGGCAAGCTCAACGTGCTTGCGGGCGCCCTCTCTCGGCGTCCATACTACGAGTTGGATCACATCACACGGGTGACAATGGATCTACATGATCGGATACGCGTGGCGTATCTGATCGGGACGGTGAGGCTGTTGCGCCTATCGTCCGGTTCCTCGCAGCAGGAACGAACGCGAAGTCCGACTGGATTTCGTCGCGACAGCGTTCCCGGCTCCACCGATATGAGTTGAAGGATGGGCTCCTCTATAACTGAGAGGAGCCTACTGAACCCCCACGGGTGGTCGTACCCAACGCGGAGGATCTGAAGCTCGACATCCTCGCGGAGGCGCATGATGCGCCCTCCAGCGGTCACTTGGGTCGAGAGAAGACCTTCCTGTCGGTCTCGCGGGCCTTCTGGTGGACCCACATGTACAAGTGGGTCGCCCGATAAGTGAAGACATGCGAAACATGTCAGCAGGTTAAACCCGCAGGGTACGCTTCGGCTCCGCTACAGAGTCTGCCCGTTCCAGCTGACAGCTGGAAGTCGATGAGTCTTGACTTCATCTTTGGGCTTCCCGCCGACGGAAACAGCAACACCGGAATTTTGGTGTTCGTGTATCGGCTGAGCAAGATGGTACATCTTGCACCAGTACCTGTTACCGTCACAGGCGAACAGACCGCGAGGTTGTTCGTCGATGGCGCGTTCCGCTATCATGGTCTCCCGGCGACGATTGTCTCGGACCGAGACCCGCGGTTTACGGCCGCGTTCTTGGAAAACGCTGTTTTCTTTACTAAGACCTCGTCTGCAGATGTCCACTGCGGACAATCCGCAGACAGACGGTCAGACAGAGCGCGTCAATTGGCGCTCGAGGACACTCTGCGCAGTGTGTGCGCGGACGAACCACGTATGTGGTCGACGCAGCTTCCACTTTTTGAGTTTGCGCTCAACAACGTGGTAAGCGCGTCCACGGGGCTCACGCCGTTCTACTTGAACGGATTCCGTCACCACAGAGTACCTTTCACTCTTTGAGGAGCTTATGACATCAGTTAGTGGCCATAGCTTTGCTAATACTGATATGTTTGCTGCGCGCGATGGTTCTATAGCTTCGGCTACTAATATTTTTTTAATTTCTTTTTGTTGTTGTAGTTCCTTCTAGATAAAAATCAAAATTATCTTAATAAACAAGAAACAATACTAGAATTTTAATTTTACATAATCAAGTATGACAATGATACCCGTTTGCTACGCGTTGTATATTTTTGTAACGCCGAGACTGTGAGCATTTTTCCACACTTCTTGGAGAAGGCCCGGGCAATTTGGACGAGTTTCGGAGGTGGAATCTGTCCCTGGTGGATCTTGGCGCGGAGTGCTAAGCGACGTCGAGCTTCGAAAAGGCTTGCGAGCGCCATGAAGCAGTAACGCACTCAAAATCGGCGTCTTCAGACTTTAAAGTTTTGCAATCTCTGCATCATCGGCGTTTCCGGTACACCTTCATCGCGAGGATCGTTGGGCCCCAAAACGATTTTGAACTCTATAGATAGAGGTTGTAGAGTTGCCATGCCATTCGAGCACGCCCTCTTTTTTGTCTATTTAGTTGCTGCGCATACAGCGACGATTTTGTGAAGAGCCCGATGCAGCTAGTGGAAAAGGAGTCGACGTCCATTATATTGATTTGCGGTAGATCCAGGATGAGCTGGACAACCGTCCCCCGGAGTTTTTAATGCTAATATAGGTTCTTTAAATCCTTCAGCTTGTGTGTGGCGGTGTATGCCGTGAGGCAGTTCTTTCTTTAGGCTACCCTTCCCACCTAATAGGCCAAGCCTCTCCCTCTGGTCCACTTTTGTGTTTCCTGGGTGGTATTTGTAGATTTGTGGAATGAATGTGGTCTGTCGAGGGAAATAACGTAATGAATGACTGATGCCAGTGTTTAGCTCATAGCAAAGGGTGCACGGTTTTATTTTCTGCGACGATTTTATTGGTTGGATGGACTTGTGTATCATTATAACGAGTATCCCTTAGCTAAGATTTGCGGTAAACTCAAGTTGAATACTGTGAAGGTACTGGATCAGAAGCAGTAGCTGTAATATGTGTCCTAGCATTAAGCATAAAACATTGATCTTTTCTGTAATTAGCGACAAATTCGGGTATCACTATTTGTTCTCTTGGACAACGGCAGACATCACGATAAACATACGACGTATTAACCTCGCAAAGAGCTTTACGTTCATGGTAGGAAGGCCTAGTAGCTGTTGGTATCGCAGTCAACCCAAGGCGTTCATTTTTGGTCCTATTTTTGTCTATAAGTATAAAGTGTTGTTGGCTAGACGAACCTTCATGAGCGGCACACGAGCGGGTGGGTCACCCCCAAGCTTCAACCGCCATGATGAAGCGAATAGGAATCAGTTAAGGCTCTCGTACTCTTTTCACCCGGATACATTCCACCATTGCCTTGTCAACCAGTTTCTTCACATCATCTAACTCAGACCCCACCACCAATTTGTGGCACCTCTGCGTTACTAAATTGTCCAGCTTGCTCCTAACGGCATTGGTAGCACGTAATTTTAGTTCCCGCTGCAGGCTAATGCCTAATGTTGTCAGCACGTCATTCCCAACAAAAAATCGTTTGTATCACCAGGAATGATGAGGCACTCGATTAGCTTAGCGATACGAGCGCTGCCAGCTGCAGGCCCTAGTCGGAGATGTAGGCTCACAGTCGATTTCACTCCAATCGGATTCCCATCGGCTGCGTTGCAGTCGGTTCCTGCGCACGCCGGGCTTGTCTGCACCGCTATCGGCACAATATACCGCTGAATAAATGTCTCTTAACACTAGCGAGCGTGCTTATGTACGCAGGTATTCAGCTAGACGTCGGTGGTTAGCGGTGCCTCCCCGGAGGGGGTTGCTCACCCATTTGGCTCGCCTTGGCGGCAAGCCGGGCACTTGTTTTCGATCGTAGTCGTTGGATATCCACTAAGATTGTGAGCCCAGATGCAATGATAACAACCAGCCTGGAATGCTCCTTTCCTTTATATCAGTACGTAAGAACGTTGGGGCAAAGGTGGTTCTTCTTGATTATCGACACAGTCTCGTGGATGCTCATGTAATGAGCAGAGGTGAGGACCCCCCCCAATAATTGGCGAGATGGTCGTAAACAACCGCCTAAACCTATTGTAGAAATGGACAAGTAGCACAAAACATAAAGAAGTGCACGGTTCGGTAACCGGTCCAGCGGACAGGAGAAACCGGACCGGATGTTTCCGCTTCTGGACAAACCACGGCATTTGCAGACTTTCCGGAAGAAACACCAGGACATAGCGCAGGGCTCCCATCGAACGAGGGGTTCGACACCAAGACCACTTCAGAGCGCAGAGCTCACGCCGGGCGCGGGGCTCAAGCAAGACAAAGGCGCAGACCCCAAGAGAAGAAGGAGCCGAGCTCCATCGACATGGCGAATCCAATAGCAGCTATCACACGGTCGGATGCCCTTCGTGGCAACGTCGTGCGTCTCGAGTGCCCACACGAGCTCCCCGAGAGAGTTTGGGACGGACCTATCTACACCCGCTTACGTGAAGCACGACACATCCAACCCGGGCACCGTAGCCCTTTCGTGATCAATGATTCGAGTCGTCGCCCCGGCTGGGTGTGCGACTTGATTCACCAACGGTATGACCCTAACGAATCAAGCGTGCCATCAGCAGTGGACACGGAAGAAGGCCTGGCCGACGTCGTCAATCCGTACAGCAGACTTACCGGACCATCTGAAGATCTCTCCAGGGAGTTACGTGACCGCCCGCTCCTATTGCTATTCCGGTTCGTGCGGTTTCGTCGCTGCTTTGTGACCAACGGCGACGGATCAGACCCTAACCTTTTCGTCGAAGCATCCCAGACTATATTCCTGGTAGGCCAAGTCGTTGCATATCGGACATGTGATAGACTCTCCTTCGTTACACCATCGGGCGCTGCGCTCCAACCGACTTGAACCTACATGTGTGTAGTGGCCGTCAGGCAACCGGAATTGAACACGCACACCCATGTCCTTCTCCAGGCCCAGGCTGCCTGGGATTCTTTAATCTCGCGCCACGAGCTCGTCGTTGGCTGGTGCCACGGAGCACCCAGTAGCAGCCATCCCAACCGCCGCACGGCGCGGTTCCGATCCCGGTGGACGGAGTTGGTTGTTCCCATCGGCTAGTGATTCAGAACTACAACGCCTGCTGCGCGATGCGTTCGTTCCAAGAGGCTCGGACACCTCCGTGGATTTCGGTATATCGGCCATTTCGTTGGCTACCGAATTCGGACGTGTTATCTCGATTAACTCTCTTGAGTACACACGTACATACATTGACCGACGGGTTTCAACCTCCCGAGTTGATGAAGATGCAGACAGCGATTTGGAATCAGCTACAGACATATTGGCAACTGGCATGTCGTGCGGGCGGCCTCTGCCTCGCGATCTACTCCGAATAGTATCCCTCGACACACCACTCAGATTAGGCCTTCCCAACGAAGAGCAGTGCATTTCGGCTGATACTCGTGGCATTATTCAGCAACGAGGAGCGGCACCAGCTGACCCTGGTTTGCCATCAGTAGGTACAGTAGCAGAAGCACCCCCAGTGACCGTAGCAGCGGGTGAAGCTGTGGTTGCTACGTTGATGTCGCTCGCGCAGGCCACACAGCAGATGGAAGCAACCACTCAACAACTTGTACGAGAACAACGCGAGCTGCGTGACCAACAACCAGAGGCAATGGTGCGCTCAGCAGCTCTGCCTCCATCCCGACCAAACGTGAATATCGACACCACCGCGAAGCCGGTCACTATGGAGAGTGTCCCTCCTTCCAGTGGACGAAGTTCAGCCTCTGGTCGATTCAGCGCGCGTGGCCACAGTGGACGTGCTCGACAACACAGCAGTCCAAGCCCACGGGGGCGAAACCACCACCGATCAAGGGATTGGATCCGGAGCCCGACTCGACGTCACACAAGCGACCATCGAGGCCGAAGCAGAAGCCGCGACCACTTTCAACCGGATAGACGGCCACTCGGAGAACCCGGTGGCTCTCAGTCGTCTCGGGGACCGTCACCGCGTAATCATAGTCGGAGCCCACATCGGGAACGGGACCGCTTCGATAGCCACGGCCATCGTCAACGCATTGGATATCGTGATAGCCCACGGGGGTGTACTGGATACGAGGACAGACAAGTACGAATGGATCGGGATTATCAGCGACCGGAGCGCAATGTCGATACTTACACGACTCGTCAGCTGGACGTACGGAACGCAGGAGGAGGTCACTTTCAACGGTCTCACCCCCATACCGGTCAGGAGTTTCAGTACTCCCATGATCAAGACAGACGTCGCCCACGCAATGGAGATATCGTACATCACACAATCTCAGAACTGATGGCTGGTGCAACCAGCTTCCGACCTCCTGCAGCGGAGCTCCAAGTCCACCAAGTAGCTAATGTGGGGCCACGTCTGAATGGTACGTACAATGATATTAACTTGCGATCGTTTTGGGCTATGCCCCTGCTGGACCGTGTTGCGGACATCCAGCAACGAGAGACTCTGAGGGGCCGTTACCGTGTCACCAAAGTGACCGCTAAGATGATATTTGCCGTGAACTTTGGCACCCGTCAGTTGGATCACTTCCTGCCGCCCCGCCCCCCCCCCCCCCCACACACACACAGAGTGGAGGAGGGCGTTCCATCACGCACGATCCGGCCACATGGTCATCGGCGGACACGAGTTCAGCGGTTTACATTCACTCTATTAAGGATTTGCGCCTGGCGCTTTCTCGTATTGAAGAAGCTGCAGTGGAGTGGTACCCCCGTCCGGTGGCGGAGGTACTTCGGTGTGTCTACGCCAACTCGCTGTCGGAACTGCTATACCAGGCTCCACAGAGCCCAATCCACGCTACTATCAATCTGTACACACACGTGTTAACGATTGTGTTTTGATTGATACGTGAGGAGCTCCCAGCGGACTCCCTGGTCCCTCAAGCTCAGGCCATCATGACGAGAGGCTCCCCTGAATACGAACGACTCGTCCGGAATGTGATTGATAGCCACATGAGCCCGTAGTCAGCCTTCCCGTCAGTCACTACGAACTGACCGCAACTACAAGCCGAGTAACTCGCGACGCTCTACGAGGGACCGCTCTACAGCATCCGCACTTCCCGCGGAGGTCAAGGCATTGATTCCGATGGTGAATGACAGTCAGGCATGTCTTCGCTTCCAAACAGTGAAGGGCTGCGACTTTTTAGGATGCAAGAACAAACACGAACGGATCCGATTACCTACAGCGGTCTTCGACCACGTGACCAACAAGCATGCTGAACTCAAAGCGAGACACCCGAAGTTTTCGAGCTGATGCCACGGAGGCGATGAGCGGACTATGAAACTAGGTCTCTTACATACGTACTGCCCAATCGTCTCTATCATTACTTATTCAGCCAGTGCTGAGTGTGCCTGATGCACTACCACTCACCAATGCCATTGAATTGTGCACTACGACCACACATGTCGCGGAGACGGAGGGTGTGTACGTAGTACTGGCATTTGACGGAGGGGCTCGGGTCTATCAGCATCGCAGTGCCCACGCCAGCTGTGTGTGGTCTAAATCTGGTGAGCTCCTGTGGTGGATGGCTAGTACCGTTCACCTTAGCGGCACCAACAATGAAATGGAAGCTCTGGAATTGCTAACAGGACTGCGGTGGCTACATCAACATCATCGCAACATACCAATTCCTATATTTGGTGACTCGGCAGTCGTTGCTAACATGGCTCTAGCAACGTACCGGGTATGTGTGAGCAATCTCCAGCCCATCATTCGAGACATCCGAGAGTTGCTATCACTACTTAGGTATGTTACGCTACAAGCCGTACCTCGTGCATACAATACGGCTGCAGACGGTGGATCATGGATATCATACCATCACCTTCTGCCACAGTTCGGAAATCAGCGGATCACGAGGTGTAACCACTATTACTAACACAGTCTTCGGACCCGTTTCGAAATGGGTGTCGAGTAACAACACCCCTGTCTCAAGAGGACTATGATTTTGCCCAGTGGCGTAGACGTTGGAGCTCGTCATGACTGACTTCACTCGAATTTCACACCTGGTGAGGAATCGATATCTAGGATTTGGGACGGACGTAATCCTACCTTCCAGCTCGCAGCAAGCACCGGATTCGATCACTACCAGCGCTCGGCTTCTGACATCTCCGTTCGATACGGTACTGAGTCGCGAATGTATAGTCAACGGCACACCGCGCTGTGTTCCTCTAGGGACGTTTCGCTCCTTCAGGCTACTCGCCACAAAGAATCACATTCCGTTTTCGGTGGATCGAATATTCTTGAAGCCCGTCACAGCACGGCTTACCATTCCCGAAGTCGACGTTCGTTTCCCCGGCCCTCGTGGGGGTACCCCACATAGGGATCGAAGGCGTCCTTCGCATTTTCAGAGGTCAGACCCCAACGGACCGGCGTCCTAACAAGGCCCTGCGGCCGCATCTGTACAAACAGTATTTGGCAGATTACCCTGACCTCACGCTACTCTGCGACATTGCAGAACATGGGGTAGTTCCACACTGGTGCAGCCCGTCAGAGCGAGTCGGAGTTCGGCCAGCGCCGCAGAACTATCCTAGTGCGGAGAAGGGTTCGGCCGTCATCACTCATAAACTCGTTATCGAATATTACCGCGGACGGTGTATTCTCGCGGACAGGTTAGCACTTTTTGATGAACCGGCGTACCATTCCCATGCTTTCGCATCTGTACCAAAGAAGTCTTTCAGACGACGGCCGCATCATTCATGACCTTTCGGCTCCACATGGGACCTCTATCAATGATGCTACTAACACAGGTTGGACACCAGACGCTCGGTGGGATCCATATTCCAGCATCGCACAACGTGTCTTACGATTGCGCCGGCAATATCCTGACGCGATCATATACGCGCTCGGAGCAGACATTGCAGAGGCATTCCTACACGTGCCAGTGCACGCTCGACACGCATCCGCATTTGGGGGCATTATCCCTCGATCACACGTATGGATCGTCTCAGGAACTGCCGTCTTCGGGTGGACGGCCTCGCCCGGGTACTTTGCAGTTTTCGGGAAAGCCGCTCGACATTACCAGCGATCGGGCTCGTCATACGTCCTAGGGCTACCAGAGCCCATCTGGATATTCCAGTGGGTCGATGACATCGTCGTAATCGAAGTTGATATCGGAGACAGACTCCATTGCGCAGAGCAACGACTGAGAGATTCGATTAAGCTCGTATTCAGTTCAGAAGGTTGGCATGAAGGCAAATTCAAAATCTGGTCCCGCCAGATTCACGCCGTTGGGACCGACTGGAATTTGGTGGATCTTACAGTATTTATTCCGCAGAGGAAAATGGATAAGATGAAACGCAAGGTTACAGAGACTTTGGGCATGCAGTATGTAACCGAAAAGAAGCTGAAGAGCCTCGTGGGCGTACTACGGCATATAACGACGCTCATTCCCATCGCAAAACCGTTCATGCAAAGGCTTATCAGTGTCCAGCACACAATCGACCGGACTGGTAGCTCAGGAATACCAATGAACGACAGACTCCGCGGAGACCTCCTGTGGTGGAAACAACTCGTGTTCGAAAACGAGTTCGCCGGAGTTCCAATGTCCATTTTCCACGCGACATCTCCAGAATCCGACTGCTGGGTCGTCATTCACAACGAATCGAGGATCATCATTCAAGGCCTGACGCCTTAAAGAACATTCAGAGTCACAGGGCTCCAGTCCATCAACAGTACGACCTTGGCACAGAGCCTACTTCGTGTGGTAACACCATGGATTCCAGTGAATCCTATTCACTCTCGGCGGCAACACATCCGAGTATATGTACAAACCTCATGGGAAGCCAAGCTGCTGAAGAGTATGTACTGCTCAGACCCAGCAGGTCAAAGCTACCTCCGGGGGATAGCGCTAGCCCAAGGCTGCGGAAGGCTGACATTCATGGTTACCAGATTTCTCGGGCTGAGAACCGAAACTCGTCCATGCGACGTACACATACCGACTTACCAGTGTGATCGTATGTGTGTACAGACCGACTAAATCGAATTACAGCGGCAACTGGGCTACTTAAGAGAGCCGCCATCAGCGATTCCTCTTTGCGCACTTACACAAAGAAGCTCAATTACGGGGTTACCTTCTGCGAAGAGTTCGGGTTTCCTATCTGGATCGACAATCTGCCTCAGGAGCGGCAGGCACGAATCGTCGGTCTGTTTGCTGGACTCTGTGCCCTCGAGGGCCACAACAAGCAGAAACAAGAAAACATATACCAAACATTCGACAGCAAGATGGGCGCAATTACCTTCGCTCACAGGAGCGTCAGAAACGCGAGCCTCAATTACAAGAATTCGGAATTTGAGCTCATTGCTCAGGGATATAAGAGAACCAACAGCCACGTCGACAGAAAGCAGCCAGTCTCCACTCCCATGTTGCATGAAATACATCGTAAGCTGCAAGAACACCGACCCAATACGGATAACGGGGAGACAGACCTCCTATGGGGATCGATAGTATTAGCCTTCTTCTTTCTCGACCCAGGCTCGGAGCTGTGGGGCCCGGTGGTCAGGGACACATCAACCGGAGGAACCATCCACTGTATCAGGGCAACATACGTGATTCTGAGAGATAAATACGGTGCTGCAATCGAACCAAGTTTAAACTCAGCTCATTCAGGAGAAATCCTATTCAGATCTCACAAAGGCGACCAAGTTCGCCAAGGGACCGTCATTCGCCACTACCGATCTGGGGAATCCGATCTGTGTCCGGTAATCGCAGCAGAAACATGTTTAAGCGTACGCACGCGTTGGCTAAGTAGCGGCAGACGTCTTGGTCCGTTCCTGACCTCGGTTAGTGCCACCTCTACAGTCAAGAAATCTGAAGTATCCAAGATAATCAAACAAGCGGCACGAACCCAAGGAGCGGATCCTAAGGACTATTCATCGCACTCGATGCGGACCGGCGGTGCCTGTGCACTACTTGCGGCCGGGAAAAGGGAAATAGTCATTCGATTCATGGGAAGATGGGCAAGCTGGTGTTTCTCAGTCTACACCAGACTACGCCCCGGCATGCTTCGAGATGTTGCAGAAAGCATGATTAGAGCATATACTTGGGAGTGTCCAGACGCCATACACGTCCGTCCACCAGGGGGTGCAATCAGCCAAGCATCCCTAACAAATCAAGTACTTGCCCCTCGCATGCCGAGACTGCAGTCTAGATGAAGGAAAGTGCACGGTTCGGTAACCGGTCCAGCGGACCGGAGAAACCGGACCGGGTGTGTAACACGCCTGGGGTGTCCGTTACTTGCTTACATGTAGTGATGAGGAAGCGTACAAGCTCAGTGATTCTGAAACCAAGTACTTAGTCTGAAGGAAAATCAACTCTGTTTTTATTTAGGTCCAGGGCGGCTTGCCCTGACCACTCAAATACACGTCAACTCCTTATTGGTTGATTATGGGTCTGGCTCCCCATATGTCAACCAATAGGGTGACTGCAGTTCAGCACACGCTACTCGTGTGCTGCTGAACCTACTTTTGTAATGCAAATCTACCTACTTATGTAATGGTGTGAGCCACTACAAAGAACCTATAAAACTACCTACATATGTAACTTGGAAGGGCCCATTACATCACCCCCCCCCCTCTTAAAGACAGCAATCACCTAACGTGTGTGCACTCAGAGAACTATCGGGAAAACTGGGAAATGGTGGAGAAGAGAACGCTTGAGAACTTGACGGACGGGAGCTCCTGCGAAGCCCAGGAGCAGCACAATACAACTTGCGCGGACGAGAACAACATGGCGCAGCAGACGGGGGCGGCGAACCAGACAGAAAGCGGAGCAACGCGGACGGCTCCAGCGTCGGCGACGACGCTGAACAGTGGGTGGACCGCTGATATCGCACCTGAGAGCGTGAGTCGACTTGGGGCTCGGCCGGCGTAATGAACAAGGATATGAAGCCGTGGGCGCTGTACGACTTGTCCGGGGCGGTGACACCGGACGCGCTGGACACCATGCAGGACCACTTTCGGCGCTTCAGGCGTCTTCGGAACAAAACACTCGACGGCGCGTCGTTTGAAGCTTTGCAGAGATCATGGTGCGCATTCATCCGGCGGTGGAATCGGATGCAAGAGGCTGGAGAAAGTGTCGTCGGCTGGCTCGGTGATCGTGAAGCCCTACCAGCCGAGCATTCACTCGGTGATCTGCGCCTGAAAGTCTGCGACAACGCTTAGACCGAAGATCGATTGTTTTATGTCAACGTACGCGAAGGTTGCAGTTCGTGTGACATCGGGCGACGCCCGACGCAAGCTGAGTGGGATCAGCATAT